CATGGCGATCTCGCCATTTCCCCGGTTCTTTCTTTTAGTGCCGGGAGGAAAGAAAGTAAAATAAGGATCGAATGAAATGCTGTCTTCTTCTGCTAAAGGCCTAAATCCATGTGACCCCTTTCTGTTTTCCTTAATCATTCTAAGGTAGTGCTGTTCTCAAGGAAAAATATATACTGTGACCAACTGTTAAACTTTCTGCCCAACCACCCTTGGGTTTAAGAAATACAAAAAGTGAATTCACGTTAGCATTTACCTTTGAAGAGTGAAAAACTTTTCTACAGAACTGGATAGATTTTCAGATTATTGAACTTATAGGATGACAGATGTATTTGATAGAGCACAGAATTTTTAGTAACCCATTCAGGAGTTATATATAACTCCTATCCTATGTATTATTTTAGTAATATTACTGCTCAGAAGAGGTCAAGCTCAAAAAGTAAGTCGTTTCAAAGGTTTTGTCTAGATATGTTGGAAATAGCAAAGATGGATTAGGTACCTCAAAATAAACAAATATTGATCTAAACTTCATCATTCATGTTAAGCTTGACATTGAAGACAATTATGTGAGATGCTCACTGTAGCAATGGTGATTTCTTCCTGAACACTGAAATCTCCCTTCCTCCCAGAGCTTACAGCTGAATTACATTTCCCAGCCCCTTGCAACAACAATGGGGATGACTTTCCCACAATCCATATCCTCACCTATTACACATGGGAGTCAAGTCAGGGATGCCTAGGGAAGGATGGCCCCATGGAAACAGGAGTCCTACCCTAACACATACTGAAGGTGACATGAGACAGGAAGCTTAAATGTTGTTTGTAAACCACAGAGACTTGGAGATGGCTGATGTAACAGTGTACCCAAATACAATCAGTGTCACACAAATGATAGCCAGGTTTGAACCACATCTTGGTCTCCTGTCCAGAGGGATCATACTCTTTGCTAAGGAAAAGTTCTTGAATTAAAAGAAAGAACTGGCCTCACCGTACTTGCTTCTCAGGTCCAGCTCCCTTAAAAGAGTGAACTTTTGAGAATCACCCAAACTGCAGAAAGAATATGTTAGATGACACATGTTTGAGATCAATACTCTGACAATTGAGGTGCGCAGTTCTCCAAGTTGGCCCCTGGACATTATTCTTCATTTTCATTGTACACTAAACCAAGGAGAGAAAATCATTTCCTGTCAGTTTGGGTTTAGTCAAATGACCCTCAATTGATCTCATTTCCTCCTCTCAGAGCCTGACTCATATATTTACCTGACCTCTAATTACCAGGTCAGTTTGAGGATAGGATGCAGAACAGACACCCCGAGAGTATTTTCCTTTTATTCTTGAGTCTCACTCCAGAGTCAAGCTTCCCAGAGAAGCACGGAGTTACCTGAGGTCAGCCTTGTAACTGAAATTGCCAAATCCAGGCTTCCACTCTGAGCTTGAATGTGAGTGTCCCAACCCACTGTCCCCAGTCATTTGACTTGAGAAGGAATCTGGCCCGCCCACTTTCCAGCTGGAGGTGCTGTGCAACTTTGCAACAGCCCATGCACTCGCAAGGAACTCCACTTGGTACAGGGGCAAAGGCATTTATACCACAGGTACACCTCTACAACTGGTGCAACTCAACAGCAGATTCCCTACTTGAAATGTAGCTTTTGGCATTCTTCCTCCCACTGCTTTCTAACAAAGGGGAGAAAAAGTTGGTTGGTCTTTGAATGGGATAGTTCACATGCTGAATATGAAGGCAGGATGTCAACCTAAGTCCCTGTTCCTACTAATTCAGAATTTTATTTCAGAAACTCTAGAATCAGAGAAAAGGAAACTGGAGGGCCAGAAGAGGTTGTTGCAGTGATTCATACAGCTGAAGAAGGACAAGACGCTCCACTAGGGTTGTGACAGCAGGAATGTGAGCAGAGAGCAGGCATCAGGAAAGTAGCTCCATTATGCTTGGTTGTAGAAGAAATTCTGGTTTGATGTATCATCTTAAGGCAATGCTTAATGATGGAGGGAAAGCAGCAAACGTGAAGAGTGAACATGGAAAAGGTGGGAGCATACTTAGGGTAACCAGTCGAGAACAAGTAAATATTTGCAGAGTGTTGCTGAAACCACATAATCATCAGCCACATTCCACTGTGTGATTATTGCAGCAAGGGAACACTCTCCCCTTCACCAGCTCGCTATTCACTAGAGCTTGTAAATAGCAAATGAGCTGCTGCAGATATTGATATGAGGAAACCACCAAGATGCTCATCAGGAAAATGGGCCAAGTGAAAGAGAGACCATGAAGGAGAAGTGAGCAGTATAGGCCACTAACCCTGGCCCATGACTGAAACCATTGCCTCAGTCACCCAGGTTATCTGCCTCAGAAAAGTCATCCTCATAAAAGGCCGTCTGTATATAAACCTTGTTTCATCTCAGTTACCCATGACCTACTGATCACTTTCCTACCTCCCTTGTACCTCAAGCTCTTCCCCTCCAGTCTCCCCGATCATTACTTTCGCTAAATGAGCACTGACCTTTTCAAAAACTACCATCAAATTCATCAGTCACTAATGGAAGGATGCTGTTATGGGTTGTATCTAGATGTCCCCCCTCCCCAAAGCCTCGTGAGCTTATAGCTAGGGCTTTTCAGGAGTGGCTGGATCAAGGGTGTGTGAATATGGATTAAGCGGATGTGATATCTGCATTAGCCCCGTCACTGGGTTAGCATAGCTCTGAGCGTGGCTGAATTGATTTACTGAAGAGTAAAGCCCACTATGGCCATGGGTAGCACCAACCAGTAGGCTCACAGACTGGATGGAATATAAAGGGAGAGAGGGAAGTCTGCCTCCTGTCTGTTATACCATGGAGTGTTTCTCTTCTGTGATTCCCCGCTACCATGCCATCCTGCCTTGGAGCCAGCCAACTATGGACTGAAACCTCTGCAAACCATGAGCTGAAATAAACTATTCCTCTTTTAACTTGTGGGTATCAGGTTTTTTGTCCCAGCAACAAGAAAAGTGATTAAAATGAGGCTACCTGGGATGACAGCCATGAGCCCCGGGTACCACCCCCGCCTTAGGTACCAGCCCTGATATCTAGAACAGAATACCCAGCACACCCAGCACAGGCCAGGGCTCTTTTGGTCAAACAGTATGCATGATCATTTTGAAGTTTCAGCATGAAATGTGTTGAGATGTTTTACCTTTCTAATGGTGAAAGTTTTAAAACAGAGACAGTAGAACTGTTTGGTTTTATCCATCCAACATTAAGCTTTAGCTCCTGATAATTAGTTTGAAAGTGCTGCCCCAACAGTCCTTCAGGCATGCTTTAGCAAGGCACCCTGGGTGCACAGTCCTGTCGGAGTTCCTCAGAAAATCTCAGCCTGTCTGAAGCCACAGGCCAAGGAGCCTGCAGAGGCAGACAGAGGCAGAACTCCCACACCCACAGCTCTGCCCAGCCAGTTTCCTGGGTGACAAATAGTGGGTGGAATTGGGCAGAGAGAAAGACAGAGAAAATCAAAAGAATAGATAAATCATAGATCTATGATTCATATAAGACAATACAACAGTGTAAGTAAATATATATTAATATAAGACTATACAATATATAAATAACTAGGATTCTATTTACTTAATATGTAAAATCTTGATAAATGATAACACCTAAGATATTGTTTGCTGGAGGGTACAGAGATCATCAATAACCATTAAATTTCAAAAACATCATTATTTATGGTCATATTTTTACAAAGTATAAAAACTATGCATGGACTTGATTAGCATCAAATTCAGGAACAAAAAGCATGGGATGAAAGTGGGAATACACAGATGGCTGCTATTCACTTGTAAGTTGAGTGGGAGGTACCTAGGTGACAGTTATATTATTTTTAAGTGAAGTATTTCAGGGACACAACAAAGTAAAAGGAAATCAAAATCAAGGACTACCTGGTGCAATCAGTGGGTGTGTGAGCAGGAACAAGTTATGTGTAAACATTTTATAGCAAAGAACATAAATTATGTGCTCAGCGCTCTAAGTGTTATAGCATGGTTTCATGGCCTAGAGTCAGGGCTACTTTTGGATTGCTTTTAGAAATAAAAATTTCCTTTACAAAGTAATTCTCAGTTGAGTCCTATTTTTACAAGGTCCTTCTTAGCTGAAGCAAAACATTCCAAACAAAAACATCACCAGGAAAAGAAAACATTATTGAGCTGGGGATGTAGGTCGATGGTAGAACACTTACCTAGCACGTATAAGGCACTGGGTTCAAACCCTTGTACTCCAAATAAATAAATAAAGTGTTATTTGTATTTGGATAAAAATGTTATGTCAAGGTTCAATCTGCAACAGCTACACATGCCATTGGGAAGTAAGTGGTCAGTGACACAAACAGGTAGATAATGAGAGGAAGCTTCCCTCACTGGCTGAGTCACTCAAATCTTTAAGCCTTGAAAGAAGCAAACAACATTTCTATCACCAAAGTCAGCCATAACTGTCCTCTCCTGCTGCATCTCCTTGCATGGGGCAATTTGTCTGTCACATTGCTGAGTACAAAAGGATAGCTGGAAAGTTCAGCATGTATATGAATGGAAATATATCTGGGAATAAATTAGAACATAAGACTGCAACTACCTCACCGTGTAACACAAAGACAGAGGATTCTGCATCCACACATGTCCTATATCCCCTTTGGGAAACACGTGTAATACATCTTAATGCTTTAAGGAAATGTTGATTTCTTCATTGATCTAGGAATGAAGATGAATTGAGAATGTTGTTTCAGGGGGGTTGGTGGGGTTGGCAACACTAAAACCTTCTAAGAACTCATAAAGAAGTGGTCACAAAATATGTAAACTATGGCTATATTTTGTGATTTCATTACAGCTTGAAACAAAATTTGGGATGAACTTCATTTACTCTCATTTTTCCAAAATCTACTTGTGTTTAATTCTTCTATGTAAAGACATTCCCAACTAAAATCCCAGGCAAGTATGTCAGTCATACAAACAATAAATAAGCCTAACACAACACATGGTCACAAGGCAAGTTTATTCTTTAAAAATGCTAAACTATTTTACAAGCTATTAAAGTCTAACAGAACCAATACATTTTTATATTTTAAAGCATCTATATTGAAAATAGTTGAGTCAAGCTGCAGAAACCTATGAAAATTAAGAGCAATTCTGTTGATCTGGCAGTTGAGTTCTGGAAGTGCTTCTGTTCTGACACTTACTGCAGAGGCAGCACTGCGGGTGGTTCCATCAGGGACACGTGTAGGTATCTGAAATGAAATCCACAGCAAAGTCAGCGCACGCCAAGCCTGTCAGGTCTGTAAAAATCCCAGGCCACAGGAAATGCTTTCATAGTTTTAACAGACTGGAAGGAAGCTGGTGCTATAAACTGACAAATTATAAACCTAGGCCTCTCCAAATTCATTTCCTTGATTGAAAATGTAATATTGTGATTCCAACCTAACATCAGATATTCAATTTATTCTATTTCTAATACTGATACAGCTATTACCCACAAAGCTTTAAATAGCCAGCCAAGATAAGAAAATGTCAGTAACTTACTTTGGAGACTTATACTTTTCCCTAATTGCCTGCTGAGGTCGATGGGGTATATCAAGGCATGCTTTATGTAGTTCACTCAGGCAAGGCACGATTTCACTTAATGAATAGCCTGTAAATGCAGCAAGCGTTTCTGGCTAATCAAGACAAAAGGAAAAAAATGTGTTTTACATAACTCCGTAAGACATTAAAATCTGAAGAAAAATGATTGTGAAGTAAAGAGAATTAATTCCTTACTAAGTATCCATATTCATCTCAAAAGAAACCATATTCACATCCTTCAGATATTTGAGCTACGCAATATTTTTTAAAACAGCCAGAGTTCTACATTTCTAAGTTCACTTACATTGTGTATTTATACTTCTTAATTTGAGTGTGGGTCACTTTTCCTGTTTCCTCATGAATGGGACTTTACTGGACCTTAAAGAGCCATACTTACCAATTTTCCTGTTTACATAGAATATGAAACATTCTTAGTCAAATGCAACGTAGAAAATAAATATTCCAGAAAATGAAGGGAGATACTTCGTCCTACTTCTGCTAGCACAAAGCAGACCTTAAGGGGGCTGTTTATGACCTTGCCACGTTCTTGGGCAAGAGGTGACATGGATGGTCCTAATCTCCCGTAATCCTGGTATAATCTTCTGGTCATCCTCACCAGACCCTGGTTTGGTTTGGTGCGGTTTGATGTGGTTTGGTGTGGTAGAGTTTGATGCAGTGTGATTTGATTTGGCTGAGAGAGGGCAAAATAAAAGTCAATGGCTTTTGCTTGAAGTCACCAGTGAATGCACTTCAGGGTCTCTCCAAGCATAGCAGCAGGCACTGAGGTTTCAGGTCCTGCAGAGCTGTAACACCACCTACTTGACTTCTTGCCCTCTCTGCTCCCCACAGAGTAAAGCAGCTGGAAACAGCAGCAGGCTGCAGTGTGCTGCCCAGACAACAGGTCCTTATTATACTAATTTGCCTTCACCAGGGGCAAGCCCAGTCTAATCCTTCAAAGTTACTTAACAGATTTTAAATCTCTGGACATGCCTCACATTTCATTGGAAAAAAAGAAAGACTCTTACCCAGAAGTGCCTGTTCACAATATAGTTCGCTAGGCAATAAGCTGCTGCGGCTATCAGTGAAGGAAGATATTTCAAGAATGGGTCAGCTTCAAGTAGACTCAGTTCTGCAACATACTAAGTGCAACAGAAAATGTCAAGTTTGACCAAAGTCATAAGCAGACCTAGAAATATCAAAGTAATAAACTGTATCTTATTTTTGCTTAACCAGTATCTAGTAATGAGCACAGAAATGAACAACCAACATTTGTCCCTAACCAAAATTGCATTCAGATTTTAATAAAATTTCCATACCTTGTATTTTGCCTACCCACACTGTACATATTATAGCTTGCTTTTCTTATTGTATGCTAGTAATACAATTTATGCTGGTCAGATAAAGTAGGGTTGGTATGGCACCTGCAATAGGATCAGAGCCTTCAGTTAAAAGGCAAAAAAAAATGACTATATAAAAGCTATTAATTTATCAGGCAAAGGAACACAGTTCCAAGGCTAGAACCACACCAGTGGGAACACATTTTTCAGCAAACACTGGAAAACCTATATAGACATTCTTGCTACTCTTTGAATACCATATAAATTACCAGATATCCTAGTAATTGGGAAAAAAAGGTGACCAAACCATACTCTAATACCTTCAACTAAATTTTTGAAACTCCAAATGACCAAATGGTGGTTCATTTCTTAGCAGGTCAGGATGAGTTTAGAACCCAATTTAACTACATTCATTTTTTTTTTCCTCAAACTAACAAGCATGGCTTGTGATTTGTATCCAACAAGGGAATAGTCTGCAAGCTTAGATGTCTTTTATTGTTGGTGATTAGATAGCCTGTGCCTGCCAAATGTAGTCCAAGGTTATGTCTTGTAGCCAGATGTGTTCTTAAAATTAGTTCTCTAAAGTTGCTAAAGAAGTTCCTCTGGCCCAAGGAAAAAACTGGAAAGAACAGAAAAACTGAGGGACGATTGGGAAAGGATGCTTTTCACCCTCCTTGCGCCTGCAGTTCCAGGAAGCAGTGTGGCATACCTTCGCCAGGTTCTCGGTTCTGACACACACGCCCTGCCGTCTTAAGTACTGAAGGAGAAACTGGTTGGTGGTTGGTACTGCCAGATCGAAAGCCAGGACTTTCAGAAACAGGTGCTCCATCCTTAACAGCTGTCGCTTTGTGTATGTGTCATCAGTTATATAGACAAACTCCTCTACTTCCGGTGGGTATATCTCTTCATATTTCCTGAGAAAGGTAAACAACCTTTAGGAGTAATGTCTGGAATGCATGGCTCTACTGCCGCGTCTCAGCACCGACCTTCAGAGTTCTTCATTAAAACCTCATTTCCCCTTCAGTATCACTGAATGGCACAGGGCTACGGAAACATTAGGAGCTTGCTTCCAGCCCAAGAACATGACTATTACAAGGATATATTTTACTTACTGCTGGGAATAGTGCTAGAAACCATTTCCAACTGAGAATTTTAGGTTTTGGCCTCTGATATACTCAAAGATTTTGCATAACAGACATTACAGGTGAATACTCATTACTTGTATAAACCTCAAATCATTTTGTGGATAAGAATGTTATGATGAACACAATGAGAATAAAAAAATTGCATAGCCCTTTAATTTTTAAGAAGACTGTGTTCATCTTTCTCTATTGAATTTGCAATGATGCTGAGTATCCAAGAAAAACATAACGATATCATTTTACCATTATAACTTCTTTCCTTCTGCTTTTGCTCTTACTTTCTCTGAGGTACTACCGGCAAGTTTTACATATTAGTAAGTAGAATATGAGAAACCCAAAGAATAGAAACTGCAGCTCAGCAACAGGTCACTTAAAGGCAGCTCAGCCACAGCCCAGCTCTCTTTTCCCACATAATTAGGTACTTTTATGAATCACTGATAGAAACAGAACCAGCTAAAAAATGTTTATTCACTGTAACCAAATAAACTGTGTTATTATGGGTTATTTGCTAGATCATGAAAACATCTTTTATATAACCAAAATCTCTTTAAATAGGACTTTTACTTGTATTAGAACACAGCTAAAAGACTACACTGCAAAAGAGTTAAAGTAGATCCTGAATTTGAGTTGACGGCTGCTTTTGTCATGATATTGAACTTCTTGCTATAAATCTTAAACATCTGAATTGAAGAGTGAATATGTGGGCAGATTCAGTTTCTCAGTAACTCCTACAAAGATGATGATCTTTTATCAAAAGAGGCATGAATAGTTTTAATTATCAAGCATTGCATTTCTTCAATAAATGCAGAAAAAAATCAAGTGTTTTGACAGGAGATAGCTTCATATTATTCAAGCTGAAAGAACACTTACGAAGCCAGAAGAAGAGCTGCTGTCCCGACAAGCTGCAATTTCCCTCTCAGAACAGACATGCAGGAAAGAAATCTGTCCAGGAAGTTGACAGCCAGGTACAGAGTTTCTGCTCGAAATTTATATTCTTCCCCAACCTCTACCAGCCAGTCCACTAGAATAGTGCGCATGCCTTCCGTGATGTCCGGTTGTTTCCTCATGTAGTGCGCTTTGGGTCTGTATCTTGTCTGCATGGAGGAAGAGTTTGGATATGTAAATAGCTGCAATATCAGAAAGATCACTCACCAGTATAGTCACTATTAGAACACATCCCCTGAGCAAATGTCAAGAGGACACTGATTCAGAACCAAAGAAATCTTTATCATGATAAGGAAGAAAGTGCGAAATGTAATGAGTTAATAGCTCAACTAAGGAAGAAGGTAACAATATGCACTATTCCTAAGAATGAAATACTTAGCATAAAAATTCTTTGGGCCACAGAGAAATCATTCATATAACTGTTACTCACTATCAAAACTACATGGTAGATGTACTTTATCTCAGATGCTTAGGAACAGAAATGCTTCAGTCTTAGATTTTTTCACATTCGGGGATATTTACATAAGTATACTGGGATACCTTGAAGTTAGTACCCTAGCCTAAACACAAAATTTATTATGCTTCACATATACCTAGCACACATAGCCTGAGTATAAAGTATAATTCTATAGAATAATTTTAATAATTCTGTACATGAAACAAAGTTTCACGATATGGAATTTTCCACATGTGGCGTTATGTCAGTGCTCAAAAAAGTTCCAGATTTTAGAGCAGTTCAGATTTTAGATTTTCAGATTACGGCTGGTCAACTTGTATTATTTTTATATATTTCTTATGTTTAGTTGTCATGTCAGCGCCATTCACCAGTGGCCACAGCCAAGAATTTGTAACTTAAAAAATTAAGAGCTTGGGGTACTGGAAATTGAACCAGAAGCTGGGAGAACTCACCTCAGCTTCTCGAAGGTACTGATGAATTTCTTCAGCATATTCAGTCACATTCATCACATCTGTGTCAAATTCTGACATGACTTCTGACTGGGAATGGAGGGACGAATCCACTAGCATAGGCGAAACTGCAGAGATTGACCACTGTCAGATAATGCATTTAATTTAAAACTCACTCTACGCACTCATCCTCCCCAGGCTACTGTGAAAAGTTGTGTTTTTCTCTTTCTGGTTACTTCCTACTGAGACGCTGCAATAGTTGTGAACACAAGGCGCCATCAAGCTGTGTATGTGTCAGATTACCTGTGTTGAAATCTAGCAGGAAGTGAAGGTCCGATTTGAGTGTGCTGGTGTCTACCTCACACACATCCTCCAAGGCCACCCCTTCTCTACCCGGGCAGCTGTTTTTCTCCTCCTGCTCGGGCTCATCCATGTAAATATCAAATCCATGCTTGGCTGGCTCAGGAACCCCATAGTCAGACAACAAGTTCTTTCCAGATGGAGGGAAGATATTTTCTGGTCCAGAAAAACACCTCAACGCTGTGATCTCCTTTAAAACAAGAATGAAATCTCTTGTTAGAGGCCACCCCCAAAGGCTATCTAGGCCTGTGTGACCGTGCATCAAACCTGCTGCTTGGCAAGGTAAATCCTAAACTGAAATATCTATGCTGACAATATAATTCCAGAGAATAAAACTTAGAAATTATTATTTTCCCCTTGTTTTTAATCTACATTTAAAATAGGAAAAGTGCTACCTAAAATTTCTTGTTTTTTTTATATACAAATATGTATCACAAAGAACTCAAGATTATAGAAGGAAGAAAAGCTATCGCTCTCCTCCAAAATGAAACAGGTATCATGTAGCAGGAAAACTGCAAGTTGGCTTTATGCTTATAGCATCACAAGATTGCAAGATTTTATAAGCGTTCTGCACAGATGTTAACACATAGTTACTGAGTTCCTACAGTCAGCTCTTTTTCTTAAAAAGTTAACTTTCAGGTGCAAGCCTCTATAAAATTCCATTTCACACCCAGTTATTTAAAAGAAAAAAAAAACCTTTATAGTAGTATTTGAGAAAAAAAAATTTAGGAACTATAAAGGACCACAATCACAAGTTACTATAACCAAGTAATCACGACTCCAAGTTACTGCCAAGTCTGACTTTTGCTACATACATATATGTACACAGACTGAGATATATGTTCATTAAACAAATATTTAATGATGCTGTTCCACATATCCAGAATTTAGCAGTGAACAGATGTTCAACCTAGAGGTAGGGAAGGGATAGAGGGACAAACAGGAAAAGATGTAGTAGACCAAAGTGAGAAAAAGAGCAGGGTAGTACACCAGGTCAGGAAAAAGAGAAGCCAACTCCTGGATGATTACCATAGGCCATTTAAGAATTGGCTTTTATGCAGAGAGGGAAGTCATGGACAGATTTTGGGCAGAGGAGTAATATAGTCCAAGTTCTGAAAGGATCATTTTGGCTGGGTACAGCTGTAGAAACAAAGGTCAAAGTTAGACGACTTGTTACAAAACTTGCTAATCCTAGGAGAGACAATAGGGGTTTCAATCAGGGTAGTGACAGAAAAGGATGAGAGGGGAAGAGAGTCCAGGCATTTTTAAAAGTAGAACTACTAATCAGTTTAGATGGGTGGTTGAAAAAAATAATCAAGGATGGCAAAGGTGTCAGGACCGATTATTATTATTAGACAGGATGGAGATTCCATTTACTGAGATAAGGAAGACAATGGGAAGAGCAAGTTGGGAGCAGGTTAAAGGGCCGGTGGCTGGTTTTGCACAATAGAGATATCTTTCATACATCCCAGTGGCGATGTCAAGGGGGCTGCTGGATACAAGAGCGATCAGTACAGCGCAGAGGCCCAGGCTGAAGATGCAAACACGAACCATTAAAAGATACTTTGATGCTAAGAGACCAAGAGAGTAAGTACAAGCTCAAAACGGAAGACCAAGCCTCAGGGCAGTTTGACTTTCAGAGACTGGAGACCTAAAGACAAACCCAGGTACACAGACGGGCAAACGAGCAAGCCAGGACGCCTGGAGAGAATAATGTTCTCCAATCTGAGCAAAAAGAAATTATTTCAAAGAAGAAAAAAGTAGTCAGCCACGTAAAATGCTGTTAATCATTCAAGTAAGGAAAGTAAAAGGGTTTGGGTCAAAGACAACAGGAGACCTACAGATGGAAAGAACTCAGTCAATAAATATTGTGAGCTGCTCTGGCTAGATACTGTCCTCAGTACTAGGAATACAGCGGAGAATATGACAGGGCAAATCCTCAGTCTCTCTGACCGAGCTTACATACCAGTGGGACAGACAAACTCTCAGTGGCTAAAATTGAATAGTAGCTGCAAAGAGCTGTGTGATCAAAAGCTTTTGAAGTTAGAAAATGTTCTAATAGGGGCTGGGGACTTCGCATAGCGGCAAAGCGCCTGCCTGGCAAGCACGAGGTCATGAGTTCAATTCCTGATACCGGGAAAAAAAAAAAAAACAACAACAAAAACAAAAAAATATATTATAATACATTTGTATTGGCGCTGTATAGAAGAGAAAACAGATGAGAAAAATGAAGAGCTGATGGAGAGATACCCTTGAGGAGAGAAGAGGATGTATGAGGCAGTGCACTCTCGAGGGTTCACCTTGCATAAGGGCACATCAACCACAGAACAAGATGCGGGAGACAGGGTATCCGGCACATGGGAGGAGGAAATAGGATTAGCTGAGGGTAAGGATGGAGAAAGAGCCGCGGGGAGGCAGGAAACAGGTTTCTAACTAAGGAGGCCATAAAGGAACAGCGCAGTGAAATGTAGAGGCAGTGCCAAGCAATGGCACCAGGCAACAGGACAGGTCATTTACTAACATACTGAGTTGTGCATTTAAAATGAAACCATTCAGCAATGGCACAACCATCAAATCATAAGTATAGTCTTAGACTGTATGTTTAAAGATGTAAATATTGCTAAGACAGCTATATTTGTTAAAAGCACTTTCAATTCTCTCCACAGCTTCAAACCAAGCATTTTTTGTATACTTTTCTCTCTTTAAACTAATCCCACACCAAAAGTCTGATGACCTGAGGAGGTAGTAGAGGAGAGGTTTCTAATTTAGCCTTGACTGTAACATTTTGGGAGTGGGCTGTTAAACCTCTCAGACTCTCCCACCTATAAAATGGGAAAGAGATCACTGCATCTGTCAAATAACAGACACACAGTATGGGCTTAAAGTGTCATTATATGGGCTGGCCTAATAACAGAATTAGAGAAGCATTTTTTTCTGTCTCAAAAATGCATTCCTAAGATTCCAAGTCCTCTTTGGCATTTAAGTGTTTAGATTTGCTGTCAGTCTTCAAAGGCAAGCACAGCTACGATTAGCTAAGCACATGTAACTATTATCTGAGGCTCCATGCCATGTTTTCACACTCTCTTAGCAGAGGGGAGATGTCTGCTCTAAAGTAACCGTTTTTTAGGTAACCTGGTAAGTAAGTTTGATCCAACACTGATTCTCACACCATCCCTATGAACACAGCAAATATTATCCAGGATTGCTTCAGGCATGGCCCAGCTCAGACTCAGCACTTCTGAGCTGGTAGAACTCCAGCTCCAGAGTTTATTCTATGCAGTCACATTGCCTTTCAGCCTAGTCTTTCAATCATTGAACATATACTTAATCCAAATAGTTTCTAGACCTGTGTCCTGGAAAGCTAAGAACAAAGAAAATTAATCACTATTTCTCTCTTCAAAAGGAACTGTCAAGGTGATCTTCAGAAATCAACTTCGCCCTAGGCCAGATTCCAGAGTTGTAATACTGAAGGAGAGTTGCAGTACACAGGTAAAAGAAAAGCACCTCCCAACCAGGGCAGGAAGGCCATTCTTCACAGCATCTTTCCCAGGGCTTCTGGGTCATTACCTGGCCATAGGTCTTCCTGTACTGCTCATTCTCACTTAGCACCCCCAACACTGTCCTCTGTGAGGGATCCTGGCCGAGCTGGGCTCTTGTGAGCACCTGACAAGCACCAGGACCTCGGGTCACTTGAGCCAGAACGACTCCGTTCTTCGAGTCGCTGTGATGCATTGTCTTGGCCTCCACACGCTGCTATCAGGGAAAAAGACACAGACAAACTGGCTTATCAACCCTCCCCACCCACCGAGGCTCCAAGGGTGCAGCAAACCTCGAGGACGAGAGTACCAAGCCACGGAATCAGCACCACTTGCCCATCTGTCTTCCCAGTAATTATTAACAGTTAAAAGGGTCTTGAGCAACCAAAGCTGCGCTGAACCCAAATAGTCATTTCAATCCCCCAGAGCTCTGTTCCAGAACTGAGTTGAGGGCTAAAACGTCAGAGACACCCTGCTAACCCTTCAAGTTGGAATACTAAAAAGCTCAGGTTATTTGGGAGTTTAAACCCGTGAGCTCTAGTTTTTACCTCTTCGAAGTTCATTCTCCCTAACCCCAAACAGTAGGTCCAGCATACCTGAGGGCGGGAAAGTGTGTCCCCTTCCCAAGTGACAAACAAGGCGCTGCCTCCTCCCACCAGAAAGAGGGGGCCCAAAACCTGTTTGGAACCTACAGCGAACGGGGCTCTCCTCCGCTTTATTTCCAAGAAAGGCCCCCTGGGGCGGGACGGGCGCGGCGGGGCGGGCGAGGGAGGGAGGACCCCGAGGTGTTAAGAGATTCCAGCGGGGGGCGCCAGGCTCCCTGCGGCGGCGGCCGCCCGCTCTGCGCTAATTACTTTCAACCCACCCGCGTCTGTGGAGCCGGCCAATCAGCGGCGCCCCCAGGCTCCCCCGGCTCCGCTTCCATGCCAACCGCGGCGGGCGTGCGCGCGCGGGGCCGCATCGCCATGGCGACCCCCTC